AACAGACACAAACACAAGCATGAGGATTAAGTATTGATAGATCCTTGAGAAGTCATACAATTGTTGGAGGATAGTTTGATATCACTAGTTCACATAACTCTGCTGATAAGATGCAGTAATTTTTCAATAATGTAATAAGTTTATAGTTCCTAAATCGTCACCAAGCAAGTATCCTGGTGCATTGCGGACAAGTGTCCTCACACGGGCAACTGTTCGGCGGGCAAGTGTCCGCTGCGGGCATGTGTCCTCCGTGGACAAGTGTTCTACGGGCAAGTGTCCTGCGGGCATCTGTCCGGCAGGCAAATGTTCTGCGGGCAAGCGTCATAGATTCGGGCGTTTAATAGTGAAAATTATAAATGTAAAGAACAATCAGCATAAATAAAGAGTTGGGTAGCCGTAAATGTGACTACTAGAAGAATTCGCTCTCGAACAATTGGCCACGGATGCATTGATGTGTGACAGTGTGAGTGCAGAGCTTTGTATACTCTTACCGACACCATAGCGCACTCACATATACCCACACAACTACTCTCATTCACACATTCATTTACATGAACAAATATACACAAACATCCTTACTCATATTCACACCCATAACGACACCAAAGTTCAAACTAAAGCCAACACCCCACACTCACGATACATACCCACATTCTACACTTATGCTTTTTCTCTATAGTTTTTACTATTGCTTCTACATTTATAGGTCCAAATGCACCATTTATGCCTTCAAAAGTCAACAGTAACGGTCTGAGGTCTACATCAATACTTCTTATTCTGCATAAAACTTCGCTTTTATTAAACAATATCACGTTCATCATAAATGTCTGAAATGATAATGCACGATGTAGAGTAAGGTAGTGATAAATGGTAAGAGTATGGCTCCGTATGAAGTTAGGCATAGGGGACGTCATTTGAGCGACTTTGGTGTATGCTTTTGAGCATTTCTTCTAGTTAGACCTACATTGGACTAGATGTTGTGTGCCTATGTTTTGTGGCATGCACATCTAAAGTGATGTGTTTAAATTTCAAAACTTGAATTGAATTGAACTTTCGAATTCGGCATTCATGGCTGTTCTATAAATTTACATATTGTATAATGAAATATAGTTGTATGACAATTGGTTGCCTACAATACTATGTTTCTTAGTAGCTGTATCGTTAATGTAGAGTTTTGAAGTCATAATTGTAGACGAGATATAGCAAATAGTGAGTTTTTTCTATTTGCACACTGCTGCATAGTACAGGCATAGATATTTGTCTTCCTCAAACCAGAGCCTTTTTTAGTCAGTATTGCAAGTGGGCACCATGCAGTCTTTTTAAATTTTCAATAAAATATATTAAGTATTGTGCAATCAACAATATTAATCACTCATATCGGCACTGACTTTATCAAAACACATTTTATAAACCGAGCAATGAAATAGTCAAGGTTTTGAGTGTGGATCATTGTGGCGATTTTATCTGCATCCTCTACTTATCAAATCCACACATATACAACGCAACCCTTTCAGATTATAGGGCATCATAAATCTTGTAAAAACATCAGACAGTTCGGTTGTCTGAGCTTTTGAGACCTAACTACGAATATTTTCATTTGTTACTCCATGAAAATCCATCTTTTTGATCAATCACCGATTTCTTAACCATAAAAAGACTGAACAAGTTCAAACTGCTATTACTAGTAGTTACAAGGAGTATAAGCTTTTGTAATTTTGTGGGCCTTATAGATAATGCTATTCGCGAGATAGTATGTTTTTAAGTCTTGTACATTCCACACTAACTGTACATGTTTGATTTCATCGAGCAGATTATAACTGATCAGGTTGAAGCCTAAAATGTTAAGGCATATGGTTACTATCACAATACCATAAAAACTTCAGCTTGTTTTAGCGACTTATAGCTGAGATATCAGGTTTTCATTGACTAATATGCTTACGTTTTCAAATCGACGATCAAAGGTGCAGGCACCTCAACTATCACGCCACTTATGTGTTCGTTATATTCGTGAGAGTAAGTCCTCATGAAACAAAAAAGCCTAAAAACTGGACAACTACGATACATCGTTCAACAGTTATAGCCATTCTACTGGTATTTTATAGGTACTGGCGATACTCGACTGATACCTAAATATTTTCGAAAAAGCAAAATTGTAGAATTTCGACCTGAAATTTTGTCTGCAGATAAAGCCTATGGCTATTAGAATATTCTGAGAAGCTTGATAAAAAGGAATATTCCTTATTCCCCACGCAACAGAAGACCCTGGATCTTTTGTTATGTTCAAGCGTACAACATTTTCTGACAGGTCTTCTATTGTATATCATTTTTTTCATAATATTTAATTAAAAACGCACTTTAGAAAATCGAAATAGTTTTGAAAAATTCGGAAGAGTTTTTTAGGGCTCTAAAGTCTCAGAAATAATGCTGATATTTTTCTTTTAAAATTTCCAGCTCAGCATTCTTTAAATTAGGTATCTTTTGACGTTAATACACTAATGAGGCTCCGGCTTTTTGGAAAATTAATTAATTAAAACGGGTCTTTTATCAACTCTGATGCATCATTTCTTCAAGGGAGTCTTCTATGGCGGGAAGGAAGTTACTCCAAAAAAATAAAAACACAGGAAAACTCAACGACCGTAACTCTATTCGAGAAAGTGAATACCTTCTGAATCTTAAGAGAGCTTCAATGAGCCCATCGAGTATCATTTCAATTATATGAGACAATTCATAAAAATTTTCGCTTGATTTTTTTGCTCATTCAACATACGATTTCGTCATGAGCCTTTTTCTCCGTTAAAAGACTCTTTTAATGCTTCTTGACCTTTTCTCTACGCATTGCTGGCTGTCCTAAGTTACACATTTGCTATAAAGCTTTTTTCCTAGTACGTGTAGCTGAGCAATATTTTATTTAGTTATTAACAAATTGCTAAATTTTATGACCCAGTTTTTGTAATTCTATCAAGCACTTCTGTTTATCAATAGAACTGTAACAAAGTCTCGCAATTGGTTGAAACTTTAAAATTGAATCGAGTAGCCTAACTACCATAGACTGTAAAAGTTTCAGCCTTGCAAGAGAACTCCACTCTCTGACACACCTTGTTAGAGCTCAAATGTTGCTAATTCGTAGCCATCATAGTGTACATAAAACTCTTAGAAGGATTCTTCGTATTAGGCCCTTGTTGTCGAGTTGTGATCCTTTTTCCTGAATTTCCAGTATAGTAAAAAGTATTATGAGCGAAACCAAATCAAGAAACGGCAATCTGAAATTTCACGCGAAACTAGATTTGATGACATTATAATATTCTGAAAGTTTTCAGGTAAAGTGGATGATTTATTGGCACGGTAACAAGTTTGAAAAAAATGGGTTTTTTTTTATCACAAAAGTGTCAACAAGATTTAATTCGCTTAGCATTCCATATCTTGAGAAGAAATCATTCGGTTTCTGTGGAAGTTTCAAAATATTATGAGAGTCATGGGATCTAGTTTTAGGCGAAATTGCACATCGGAATTCCTTGGTTCCACTTCGCTCATAGCTCAAGAACAGGAGTCTGATGAGCAGCATCTTTTTCAAATTCTTATCCACACTATGAGCTCTATGCATGAGCAAAATACGAGCTCAAACGGTGTGTAGGTGTGTCCTTGGTATGTTGCCAGTTTATCCAGCGACCACGTCGAAATTCAGTGAAACTTTTACAGTTTGAAGAGCTTTTTGTGCTAATTATTTTGGCTATAATTTTTTTACATTTGGCCGCTATTTTTAGGGAGATACGGGTCAAATATTATTAATGCATTTTATGTATTTTTCAATAAATTCAAGTTACATTTTTATCGAAAAACCGATCATAGTCCTTGATTACCCATTTTGATTCCAAAACAGTATCTCCCTGAAACATCATGATTTCGGGCTGAAAATTTTAACATAACTTTTCCACAACAGCCTCAACATATCTTGAAAATTTCAGGTCATTTGAACATTCCTGGGCTCAGATCGATTTTTGACGGTGAGGGTGCCTAAGAAGTGATAATCGATTAAATTGATTAACAGGTAATAAATATCAAAATAAATTAATAGGTACTACTATTTTGAAGCTAAGTAACAGGTAATAATAATGGATTAAAGCAGGTTAACAGGTAATCATAACAGATTGGAGCAGATTAACGCGTAATAATAATAGATCAAAGTAGATTAATGGGTAACAATCCTAGTGGAAAATTTGAGCGATTAAAATCCATTAAAACTTCGAAATTCTTTGGGAAAAATCGAAAACGATAATCGGATTTTTGCGAAACAAAATCAAGATTAGTATAAATTATAAACAAAATTTTAAATCGAACTCTTTTACGACAAAACCAAGATTATAATCGATTATAATCAAAATTGTAAGTTCGATTAGGTCCATAGAATTTTTCAAATTTTAATCGATTTTAATTCTCGAAATTTATCGCTCGGTTAGGTTGAGAATATGCATAATTCACTTCATTTTCATCTGAATAGACAGTTGTTTGCGATGAATTCGGTTCTTTCATCTAGCGTTTGTTCGCAGTTGATCTATTTGTATTCATACTTCATAGATATTGGTCATTCAGTTTTATGTTCTTTTTTTGGTATTTGATATTCACAATCAATATCTGGTATTGATCCTTATGGAATCGATAAATGAGTACTACCAGAATGATCTGTTCGATTTCTAAGAGGCTAGGTTCAGTATTAAAAAAAACTTTCAATACAACCATTACCGGATCCAAATGGGAAACATGGTGGATACTCTGTAACTATGATGGAAAAACTCGTCTATGTTCACCAGAAGATTAGTGTAGGTCAAAGACAAACATGCGCAACATTCATAAAAATGTCAGAAGTCGTAACAGACGGCTATACGCCTATTACTATCTATGGAGGAGAAACAGAAGCGATAGGGTTCACTTTTTTCGCTATATACTTCAACATTCATTGGAAATCGTATGTTGAAGTAAATTTTATTGTTTGCTTCAGATACCATATGGCATCAACAAATCTATCTGCTAGGGCTAATATACTCAGTGAATCACTGTCATATTTGATGCCATATTTTATTCGATTGAAATCAAATCATTATGATGAAAGAACAAATCCTGAAGGTATTCTCAATTTTGGCGTCGCAGAAAATATGCTTTGTGAAATGGAGCTTGTCGAAAAATTAAATGCTGTGCAAAAATGGACAGCACCTATGAACTACTATGGTCATCCGGCTGGTGAAGTCGAGTTTCGTGAAGAATTATGTTGCTTCTTTCAGGAACATTTTCGACTTGATACACCGAAATTAATACCTGCCAGAATGATGATTACCAGTGGCGCCAATGCTGGATTCATTGTCTATAGTTACTTGTTGACCGACCCTGGTGATGCAATACTCATTCCAGCGCCTTATTATCCTATGATCGATCAAGATGTTTCAGTTCTTACGGGCAATCGGATTGTTCGTTGTCCCTTACTCGATCAAGAATCGGGAGAATTTCGATTAACAGTTGATATATTTAAACATGGCTATGAAGTTGCTTTAGCTGATGGTCTTCGACCACGTATGATTATTCTTGTAAATCCGCAAAATCCCCTTGGTGATGTATATGATGAACTTACTATCCGATCAATACTCGAATTTGCTGCAGAAAAACAGCTACATGTTGTTATTGATGAAATCTATGCATTCAGCTTGTTCGTTAATGAGAAACCATTTGAATCAATGTTAAGATATACTTCATTACCAGATCCAAGTCGTACTCACTTTCTTTGGTCGTTCAGTAAAGACTTCACGTTGAGTGGAGCTCATGTTGGCGTTATGTATGCGGGTACCTCTGATTTATGTGCAATAGCTACTAACCTTAATTTTTTCATGGTGCCTTCACGAGTAGTTCAACAAACCTTAACTTCGCTTGTGGCCGATCGTGAGTGGATACGTGCATATATTGCATTGAATCGTTCGCGCCTTACAGAAAAATATAAGTATGTCAAATCAGAACTCGAATCAATGGGTATTCGAGTACGCAACACTCAATCAGGTTTCTTTATTTGGGCTGACTTTCGTCCATTTATGAAACACATTACCTTTGAAGAGGAAAACCGTTTATTTGAATTGCTCTTTGAAAATGGCCTTTTCGTTTCTCGTGGCTATAATTTAGGCTGTTCTCAGCCAGGCTGGTTTCGCATGGTATTTTCAATCAAAGATTCCATGATTACCGAAGGATTGAAACGTATTAAAGCGACGTTGAGTTTATTTTCAAATTAACAAGCATTTCAAACATGTTCTTCCTCAGCAGTGAACTTCATTTTAGAGAAAATTATTAATCTAGAGAATGATAAATCAAACCTTAATTGTACAAGGCAATGGATAGGGTCTTTCATACACTTCTTTTCAGAGTTATTTTGGATTTGCGTTATTTCTTTCTTATAATTCATAGAAAAACACCAATGCTAAATGCTTTTAACTTTGCATACTTTCTGGTGAATGTAAATGTTAAATTATCCCGATGAAAACCGTAAAAGAAGGTACCTTAAAATGCAATCGCTTAGGTTTTTTTATTGTCATTGGTTAATATATGAGCAGCTAACGAACATTCTTGGATACATTTTGCAAGTAGGTTTCCAAATATACATGGACTTCTCTTGTCTCTTGATACTCAGGATAGTAAAGCATTCTCTTGTAGTATTTAATTTTTCCTCTTGCACACAATCTATGATTTGGAGATCTTACTAATTTTCTCAGGACTATCGAGCCTTTTACAATTAGTAGACTAGGTATGACTTCATTTATTTCGATTTATTTACCTCCAATCTGAAGCTATGTTTGCAAGACCTTTTCAAAACTGTTGAAATGATAAGAGTTGACGTCTTGATAATATGAATGAAAGTGTGGGAGAGGCTGGATGTGGCTGCACAAAAAAAAAAATGGTACCGTACGAAACTTATAAAAGATTCCGAATTATGCAACCGAATCGAAACCTTTTTCAAGTTTTATAAAAGTAAGATTTCGTACAAAAACATTTTAAAATCACTTCAAAAAAAGGTTTCTTAATCAAAATTTTTGCAGTATTCCAATGAAACACCGTTGGCTCTATTTGTATATCATTATGCTCATCTACTCTGTAAAAAAATCCGTTTCCTTAAAAACTCTAATAGAATTTACGAGAAGTCGGAAACCGATATAGCTCCCTCAAAAACTTTCTCGGATACCGATCTCGTAAACGAATAAAAGGTTTACAAGCTCACAACAGCCGCAACCCAATCAGAGATGACCACTCTCCAGCGACAGAATCCATTTAGAAACCAAGCCTAATCTCGTTCCACCAACAAAATTAGATATCTTGTTAGTTCTCATCAGCTGAAATATAACTTACAAGTTAAATGAAGTTCACGTGAATCTAAAACATAAAGAAAGAGATAGATAATGTTTTTCAATTCGAATCATTACTTACCATTTGAATAAAGTTCAAATGAATCTTTAACATAAAAAAACTTGATTTGCTGGAAATTTCGTTACTCAAGATTTCAAGATGATCAATGCGTTTTCGAAATCGCCAAGAGGGAAAGAGGACATAGATGGCATGACTGTTTCCAGTAGTATGCATATAGTTACAAGTTTAGAAAAGCTTTCAATAGCAGGAATGTTCTGTAATTCAGAAGAGCATACCTTCAATGGTAGAAGCTTTTTGACTTATGAGAATATCTAAAGCTGAGCGAGGAGAAAGATGAGAAACGAAAAGTGTGAACAGTAAAAATTTTAGTTTCGGATGAGTTTTGAATCGATTATCTATATCCTTTTTTTTTGTTACAGAGAGTAATCTCATAACTCAGTCAATCTTCACAGTCTAATGGTTCAAGGTATTTTTAACCTAACCTCTTCTCCTATATTCTTAGTTTGACACCTAAGTTTATCTAATCAGTATGTTCCGCTTATAATTTCTCTGAATGAACACCCTGATGGAAACGTTTAGCTTACAGCTCCACCTTAGCCATTGTGTATGCTCTCAATATTTGCATGTAAATATGCAACAATTGCGATGTGTTTATGCGAAGGTCCCTTCAAAACGGGCGGATCATGTACACTGTTCCCATACTTTGATTGAGTTCTCAGTTAATTATATAATTATAATAAAAAGTTGGCCGATAATATCTCTCCAATCATTAATAATAACCGGCAACAGGTCACCTAACCATTAGTATTAAGTTAAAGCTTTTTCTGCAAATGTAAAATGTGCTCGAAAGTTAGTGAATAAGTGATTGGTATGTAATTAGGTGATCGTATTCGGATGAAATTTTCTTAGTCTGAAGATGGTTTATGCTGTTAAAATAATCTTTCTTCTTTTGAAACTTGACTAACAGTATCTTAACGTGTGATTGTTAGCTATTGCAACAGGGAACTCCGAAATTTCGAAAAACCGTATTATGGTTACGATTCCTTGATCCAGAACACTTTCGTCAGATTTTTAGTGGAAAAATTATTGTTTTCACGGACTAGCCACCTGTCCCAAAGTCAAAAATGTATAACTCGAAATTTCGAACTACGAAGTACAGATTTCGAGTCTTTCGTCCTGAAACCCTGCAGTCAACATTAAAACAATTCGTTTTTTCTCTAGATAGGCGTTCCCTGGCTTGAAATAGATTGAATACGGTAGTATACCCTCACAGCAACAACTTATATTTTTGATTTTCAGTAGATTGTATGTTAAAAGAAAAAGTCTCAACTGAAAATTAAGGTCTCTTATTCTCATTATTCATTTGTCGTTATGTGCAGTCCAATCGCACGAAATTTTCTGAAAATACTCACATTGCATTGAAGAAGCTATAGTAAAATGTTGAGCTCTATACCATGAAGTTTGCGACAGATATGCATCAAACAATCGTACAAAAATACCTCCGTCAGCTTTCCAAAGTCCTATATTGTTATTTGTTTTAATTCGTCAATTTGTTTCGTTTGAAAGCCCTTTTAGAACATAGAGCTTATTGAATACTTTCTCTCAGATTTTTAGTTTTTTTAGATGCAGAAGGATGACAACTTTATATTGCCGAAGATTCTCAATAAATTTGAGCTTTTTAAAAGCATTTTTGAAATATGATTATGGTATCGAACTTTTTATCGTTTTTCTTCTCAAAAAAAGAAAGAATGTAAGAAAAGGTTCTCGATAGACTCTGTGTTACATTGTGCTCTTTCAAAGTAAATTAAATATATAGGATGAAGAGCGAGAGAGAATGTTGAGACACCAAACAAGCTATTTTTCATCCTTACTTAATAGATACCTCTCGAAAAACATCTGTCTTACAGTTCAAAAATTCAGTATATCTTGTCTACTACAGTCCAAACAATTCCTTGATAATTTCATAAGATTTGAATTTACTTGACTCTAAACCAACTATTAAGGAGAGGAGCACATTATTACTGAAGAGATCTATGAATCGTCACTATCAACGAATTACGTGATCTGTGTGCTACTTTCATTCATATGGATGGGTAGGTAAAGCCACTAGAGGTCTAGTTTCATTTAACTGTATGAAAAATTTAGTCCATCGCGAATGCAAGGATACTTTCAGTAAAATTTTAAACCACTCAAAGATTCAGGAAAGAAAGAGATGTGATTATTACATAAGTGAAACGCTCTCTATTACTTCAACAATAAACTTCTTGTGCGTAAGGAAGAAATCTAGAAGCAATCATTTAACACTCATAGTCGACTGTAGAATGAATGTTAATAGATAAACAGAAGAAAGGAGTCTGATCAGTCGAATCGGTAATTGATGAACATATGTCTCTATTATGGATGAGATGAAGAAAAAGTAGTCTGATGCGCATACTTTTGATTGAGATACCTTTAGAAGGTATAATACGAAATCTTTTTTAGATAGAAAAACCTTTGATGGTTTTATACGAAACCTAGGAGATCTGGTAACCTTAAAAAGGTTTCATGCATTTCTACGATACTTTTAAACGTATGATAAAGTTCCATGAAACCTCATAAGTTCTGCAGCGTACAATTTTTTTTTCGTGTGGCTGAGTGTTGGTGTTGTTGAGATCTGGTGATAGTATTTTTATTTACTACTACACACCCACACTCACATCCGATTAAGTCATTGTAGTGCTTCCAGTATTTCAGCACACATCTTTTTGAAATGCTCCAGAATATTCTCGAGACCGATTATGTTCACTTTTCTTCGTGTTTCCGTTATTTCAGATATAAATCAGAAACTGTCATTTTATGTGTCACGTATTATTGCTGAGTCCGCGCTAGATAAAATACAAATAGACAAGCTGCAATATTGAGGCTTTGTAAAATCAATTCGTATTTCTCGTACAAAAGCCTTTTCTTTTCTTGTTCAAAAAAAAGCTGATTTCATGTATCGCTCATAAGTTAGCGGGGTGAAAGGCAGTAGTCTTTGCTAGAATCCACGATACAGATACAAACAGAAGCAACTGAACGTATAAATTACGAGAAAGCAACTCTAGTGTACGAGAAGAAAAGTTTCTAACGATCTTAGTATTGCACTCTTTGCACTTTATAGTGAGTTCAACAAAAGAGTTATTACAAAATATAATCTTGAAATCGAAGGTAGCCAGCATTGCTAAATATAAAAGACACAATTTTTCAAGCAATCTATTCGTCTCTTTTTGACTTTTTGACGCTCTGTGATCGCATTAAGAAAAATTAAGGACACCATTTTGTAGTACTTCAGATGTTGTATAACTGCAGAGATAATGACAGAATTTTTCATTCGAAGCTTCTGCGATCAAAGCATTGTCGCTTCTTTCCAACGTTTGATTGCTTAAAATCTGCTCTTGAAACTCACTGGAAAAGCATACATGAATAGGTTCCAATATAATATTTATGGTAATTTTTGCTAATGTCCACAAGTGTTTTGTGTATCATTTATTTATGACCCAACCAGAGTACATATTTCCTTTTGTAGTATATGACACTCAAAGAAAATGATCAATGATTCCAGATTGGTTTTCAACAGATGTTTTCCCTAGAATCTAATTATCTTAACAAATAATTTTGACTGTTGTGAGAAAGAGCGCATCGGAAAACATGGTTAACATAACATTGAAGACGCCAGATGCCTGACTAGGCTGAAGTCGGAAAATAGACAATCTTCGGAAAAACTCATCGGAAAGCAGGCCTCGTTGTGGTACAACAGTAATGACTGTTTATGATTCCACGATTAAATGTTGTTGATGCTTCTTTTGATAGAATTTTCTTGTAGAAAATCGAATGGGAATATTTTGAGGCTCAGATC